CTGTCATTCTTTGGTCTCATTTGACTCTGCATCTGCTGTGCCTACAAGTTGATACTATATGACTTCCGCTATTCAAGTATTCATTATTTCACAATATCGCTACACAAATACTTAATACTGTATCGAGCGATATGTAATTTTTGCAGCCATCGATATCTGTGCATATCGATATTTTGAATTAAAGAAAATTATATTTTATCTTATTCGTTGATGGAGATAAAATTCTGTGTAGTTATGAATTTATATTCATTTATTATAGAGAAAATTTAGTATAAATTTATAATTACCACATATTGCGTTCAGCGTGTATTCACTAATAAATGATGTTAAATCTTTTACAACTGCGCCTTTTGCATTGTTCAAGGACTTTACCATGTTTTTGCTTTCTTTGTCGAAAATCTTAACAAATCGTTGCAGTATATTAAAATGAAATGTAGGAGTTAATATCTTTCGCTGTGACTGCCACTTAGTCCCTAAAACATGAACAACACAATGTACAATTGTGAAATGACGATTCGAAATAAGCATTGGAATAAACGATAAGGTACAATCTTTTAATTTAATTTTAAATTAAATTTATTTACATTACAAATTTATTTTATTATCAATATAATGAAAACTTGATAGCCAAAACGAAACTTAGTAATATAATATGCATTCTTATTAATATTAATATCATTACCTTCACTAAGTATAATACTAGTTCCGAGCCAAGGTTTGGAATAATCATAAAGAAAACTCTTTTTTATATGTTTCGGGTTCCTTAATATTGTCTAAAATTGCAATGAATTGATTTCGAAAGTATTTTAAATATTCAATCATTTTTAACCAATATTTTACGAGCAAATAATAATAAGTAAGGCTCTGAGAATAAATCAAACGAAATAAGAAATAAAGCCAATATGAACTAACACAAATATCGATGCATAATATTTAAATATTTAATAGTAATAGAATCCTATATGTGAAAAATACAATCTATAGGAAATAAGTGCTTTAAACGGTCCAGTTAGGATCTTAAGTGTTTGTATAATTCTATGTGAATTTATACGTAATATTATGTAGTCCTTTAAAATGCGCACCGAAGTGATTTTTTTTTTAAATCTACAGCAAACTATACTAAACTAATAACATCAGGAGTTAAATGGACTAATAATTTAATAATTTACTGCTCTTACGTATCTTGAAACTCTTACGTATCCTAATGCTGAATGACATATTACAATCCTAAATAATTCTTATTGTAAAAAATATTACATCGAACTCGAATTTCTGGCATTTCTCCCTGTGAGCATCTAAATATTTATTAATAGAATATTACATAATATTCTGCTAATAAATATTTAGATGTTGCAAAACAATGTTTCAATCATAGTTCGGATCTCTATTGATGTAATTAGAATAAAAAAAAATTATTAGTGTAATTAGAAAAGAAAAAATAAGCATATAATATGGGTAGTTATCACTATAAGATCTATTAAAATGTGAACTTAAAAAAATAGAATGAATAGATAGACAATTTAAAAATCTAAAAGGATAACGATTGCGAGTACAGATTATTCAGTTAAAAATAAACT